CATACAGTGCTTATTAATAATATACGTTGGGTAAGGGCAAAAAACCGTTATATATATAATTACCATGTTATCAATTACGGATCTCAGAACTTTACATTGTGTCAATTAGTAAATGATACATGTGGTAAGAACCAATCAAGCTACAGAACCAATCAAGTTAGAAGTTAATAATTGATGTTGACATGTCAATACAATGGCTTCACAATAAATATTCATCAGTTAGGGTAATGATCCCTAGAGTGGTTAATCAATGTGGAAATCAGCTGATGATGACTGAATCAAAAAGCAACAAAGATATTACCAACCAGTTAGAGAAGGAAACACAAGGAAAATTTCTTTCAACCTCATTTTCTCAAGATTTATATTCAAGTAAGCCCTTTAAAACAGCCTTCTGAAGAAGAAACTTTGTCTCTCTTTTTTTTTCAAAACTGCTGCCTGTCATATTTATATCATTCTGGTAACATTTACTACAGAACAACATCTACCGAACCCACCTCTGTCATATCTTGCAGCAAGGTGACCAAGGACTCGGTGGGACCGATGCGAACAGTCTTCAGCTCCTTCAGGTTGGGCACACTGTCACCCCCAGAGACCACCACCACTGAGGGCTGGTAGCTGCTGTCATTAGGGTCTACCGTCATACGCAGTCTATGCACTAGGATATTGGGCTGCATCGTCAGACGGATGAAGTGCTGTCATCAGGAGAGAGTGAAAAGTCAAGTTGTGGAATGAAAGTTACGAGGACATAAAACAATTAAAATGATGCATAAATAACACCAAATGAACATCTGGCTACGAAAACCTACGAAAATGTTGAAACAATGAACAAAGTAAACAATCAATCCATAATAAATTCTATAACCTTAAAAATGCATAAAATCTCTAATTAGTTTAAATAAGACAAACAATGAATAGAAAATATGCCTATAAGATGATGACAGGTGATAGATCATAAAATGTTCTGAATATGCCAATGACGGTGACTGTGAACTACAAATAAAACAAAAGTATTGACTGATTGTAAAAAAATGAAGTGAATTCTCCTATGACCAAGTTCAATTAAGAACCATTTATTGCCTACTGGCAAATTTTCCCTGGTAATTTACACACAAAATGTATCCTGGGTACCAGGCAAAATTGACCAGTGCTTGAGAAATAGTCACAGATGGATCCAAGTTTAGCCTGAGAGATGTTCTTACCTTTCCTTGGGAGCCAGAGGACTGCCAGTAGGTGTTAGGGTTCCCATCCACCAGCCTGGAGATGTGTCCTTCCTTTGAGGAGACCTCACTGTTCTTCACACAGCGGGACCAATCTTCAATCAAAGCCCCCGCTGCAGGGCCCACCCTACGCCGTCCACGACCAGGCCTGCCAACATTGACAGGGGTACTCCCTGGTAAAAGAAAACAAATGGATGGAGTCAGAAACTTTGACAGGACAGGGATCAGCAGTTCAGCTAAGTGGCTCAAAGAAATCAAACTACCAGCATACATTACTCTCAAAATGTTAAACTGTGACCCACAAGAAGAAACAACTACTTGGTAGACTTGACCTTATATGGATTAATACTTGAGCAAAACTGAAATAAAATTTAAGGAATTCAAACTGCAACATCACTAGATTAAATTGCGAAACAACATCTGAACAATTTGAAAACATTTCAACAAAAGACTACACAATATCCACGTGGATTATTTTCCCATTACCTGGTTCAGAAATGCGCACAAAGGGATGGCGGTGGTTACGTCTAGTCCGGAAACAGCTCTCGCAAAAGTCAAAGTCATCACATGTCTTGCATTTGAAGCGGGGGCCAGTGATGTAGGTTGCTCGGCAACCATCGCATCTGTAAACAGCACCAAACAGAAAGTTCATGAGGTCATATTTAGAGATCCGTGTAAATTATTAGAACTTGTAAAATAAGTTACTGCTGCGGCAAAAATAGACAATGTGGTACTCACGTGACACCAGTGTGGGTACTGGGTACCAGTTCCATCTCAGATACCAGTCCAGTCCAGTGGGGTTGCTGGGGGAAATTGACAGTCACATCTTTGCCATTGGCACTGAAGCCTAAAATTTTCAATAGAAAAATATGTCCAGTTCACGTGATCAACTTCAGTTGAACTCAAAATTGACAAAATAATGAAACAGCACAAAAGTTTTAGCTTGTTAAAATGTCAAGCCTAAAATTGTTTTCCAATAAGTTGCATTGATTTTTTAATATTCTAAATAAGGTGGGCCCAAGGATATTTTTATTTTCTGTTCCCCTCTAAACACTTGGCTAACAGAAAACAAACGTCCAGCTTAGCACCCTATAAAAAGTCGCAACTGTTGATGGTAAAATTACATGAGATTATCAAACCAAACACATGACTTTTAACAATGAATTTACTCAACACAAATTCAGCAAACAATACGGGACCAGCCATCTATAAACTCTTGGGCTAAGTCAATTTGAATAATTGACTATTCGAATATCCGACCTTCAATGCAATCGAATATTGGAATATTCAGTCATACCTGCTGGCAGATTGTTGATGGACAAACCATATACAAAATCAGTCGCAATAACGCAAACAAATTTTAAATTATAATCACTATAAAAGTTTCTCACTTTTATTTCAAGTTGAAATATTGTCATGAAGATTTCATCATATTTTCTTTCAACAAAGTTAGCATCAATACATCATTATCACAAAGAATACTATCTTGGCACATTCATATTTTTTGTGAAAGAGCTATTCCCATATTCCAGGATGGATTCTATATTGGACTGTTGAGCATATCAGCTGCCTTCAAGTGTCTGGAATCTGCTTGAAACGAAACTCTAGTGAAATTTTTCTTATTAAAAAAAGGAAATCCTCCCTTCTTTTTCATGAATTTTGCATTTGAATATTCAAATCTGAAAAATCATTATTTGATAATCAATCGAATATTCAGATATTTGGCACAGACCTAATAAACTCAACACTGCTGAACTTCAGAGGGGTTTGCCTTCTGAAGTGCCAACTTACCAGTGACCGTACCCACACTCTTGTGGGACACAGACCCCCACTTATACTTGGGGGAGGTGATGTTGCGTGCCACCTTCACCCTGTCTCCAACCTTAATGTTGGACCCCGGGGCACACTGGGGAGTGAATCCCAGCAACTCCACGTGGATGTACCGTACCCAGTAGGTGCCTGTCTTAATCTGCCATTCCCCTTGGACATTGAGGTCATGAAGGCCGTCCCGATCAAGCTTGTTAAGACAGAACCGGAAACATTGGTAAATATTGACCAGACATCAGACCTTTTAGCTCAAGCATCAACTTATGTTTAGCTGTTAGCATCAGACTTGTTGACCTACAAGGAGAACCAAATTCCAATGCCAAACAAGTATTCAGAATTCCATGACTTGTAATACAAATTGCAGGTAAATTTATTTTGCAATCTCCCCCAGAACTATGAAGGGAACAGTTCCACGGGCTTAAGATTTTGGAGGGTAGGAAAATGAAGACTCACTTCTTTTATAACAGAAAAAACCCTGGTATGTGTCAACTGTTGTCAAGTAATCTATGAACTGACACAAGAATTTGGTGGTTGAGAAAACTCTGTTATGGTGATAGGATTTTACCGCTTACTTTCACAACCTTGCCTATGTCCCCCTCTTGGACCTCTTCATAAGTGCGACAGCATCGAACCGTCATGCCAATCTGGATGTTATCGCGGACGTACATTGCGTACTCGTCGTTACTCAGAAAGTCACTGCGCTTTTTGAAGAGCGTAGCCTCAGCAGCCAGCATCTGTCCATAATAGAGTCATTTGCATGTTTGTAGAATACGACCATTATTTTCAAGTCACACTTGCCTGTAAATTTCTGCTCAAAATATCTTTTGTATAAATTGGATGATGTAATGAAATTCTTGGATTTCACTATGATTTGAAATAAATGAAATTTGACGAGGGATAACCTTTCCTTCCTCCTGGTGACAGAATGTCCTCATAAAAACTGTACTAAAACTTCGTGCACAAAAACACTATCTTTAAAAAGTTCAAGGCTTCAAGAGCTGAAGACTTTACCTATATTTTTTATTCTGTTTCTTACTGACATTTGAATACATAAGTGGCAGTGACAGAACACCATCGTCTCCACTGGCAAGTGAAGCAGTGCACTAGTTATTAAGGCATTTGCCATACCAACTGAGTTATAGTAGGTTCAATATCCATCCAATTACCTGTTCATAGTCTCCTTCCAGGTCTTCAAAATCGTCCTCATCCTCATCATCATCTGGGAACAACTCTGAGGACAGTTCACTGTCCGAGTCAGACACATCGGGCAGGTCCACCACATCAGGGTGGTCCACTAGCCAACTCACCACGGCTTCAGCACTCGGTTTCGAATCTGAACCTCCACCTTCGGAAAAACAGTTCAACCTTTATCAAACTGTTGCTTTAGACCTGAGAAACAGCTGGGTTTCATGCTCTTTAAGGAATCCATTTACTTCCAAAACTTAACAAAACTAAATACTCTACAAAACCTTGGCACACATATAGCAAGTTAGCTTCAAGGTTTCAATGCTTTTTATTTTTAGAGCCCGAATTGGTGGAGAAAGCTTAAAAAATACTACTTATCGAGAAAAATAATTGGTCTATGTAGCTGACGGAAGCTATAAATGGTATTAAAACTTCTAAGAAAAATAAATTTCAACAAATAGACTACATGTGAAAACTAAATACACTGACTTAAAACCAAATCAGTTGACCAAGAAAAATCACTCAAAGAGAGTTTTAATCAGATTAAAACCAAGCAGTAAAGAATCAAACAATGATTACTTCTTTTCAAAATGCTACAAAAATCATTTGAATCAATCAGTAACACACCTGACAGCAGTCACCTGTTGATATCTTGAGACAGGCTAAAATCTTCCATTTGACAGTGAGAAGATCCTGTATAACAAATTGCTGCTACCTTAGACTTACTCAGAGCCTTGACGGCAAACTCCACATTCTTTCTCATGAAACCCATCTCCATCAGCTGGCTGACCAGTGGCGATGGTGGCACTTCTGCTGCCTTGGGCCGTCTCTGGCGGACGGGACGAGCTGTGGCTGTGTCCGATGGACTGGCAATCTCACGGACAGGCTGTGGGATGCGTCCTTCCTCGTTGATGTAGACTGGGGGTGGAGTCTTGGTCTCCGCAACAAGGTACTGACACAAAGCCAGAGCAGCACCCTATTTACAGGAAGTAAATGGAAGTACATTTGAAAATATAGACTCTTTAGTAGCATCTGTTGGTGAATATTGTGTGCTGACAGTCATGCGCTGGAAGCAACTGATCAATTTACAATCAGTTGTCAATAAAAATTGGTTGAAATTGAACATTAAATGCTAATTTCCTGATCTGTGTAGGCAGCATACATACATGAATGAACATGACTAAGTTGTCCTTAAAACTTCAACAGTCAAATCTTCATTTCAGTGCCAGTGAGTCATAGCAAGCAAGACGTCCACATAAGACTAATTATTTTCAAAATCCAATTTCTTTTGTTTTTGTAGGTATTTTCAAGCTGTTTCAGCGATTCTTACAAAATTCCAAATTCAGGAAAACAAAGGTATAGACTTATTCAGCGTCATCTGGGTAATTGGAACTTCTGTTCAGACAAATGTGGAAGACTATTTGGACACCATTTGCAAGTACCTCCAATTCACCCCTCTCAAACAGCGCCTTGATTGGGGAGGGCTGAATGGCTGCATTCATCAGAAGTTGCAGCAGGGTCATCTTGGTGGAAGTCATGCTGTCCGGGCTACTATCATCCTCCATTGAGAAGGGCTGGAGCTCTAGGGCTGCCTGAAGGGATAGCACCTTGCGTAAGTTGTCCTGCTTGCTGAACATGACCCGAGTGGCACGCAGGAGAGAAAGGCGAATCTGCTGCTTGCGAAGGCGATTCAGGTTGACCGCATCTGGGACAGGTTTGAAGTGTAAAGAAAACATTCATGATACCACTGTTATGGAAAAAAGACATGGAGAATTAAAAAGATTGGCAGGTTGTTCCAGACCATCAAAGGGTTAAAGTTGTTTGTCTTCAACTGTCTAAATATATTCAAAACAAAGAAACTTCAGAAAATGGCCTTGCAGGTTTTCGGGCCTGAAATACTGCTCTTGAAGAGTCAAGGTTTACTACTCTTTGATAAAAAGAAGTTAAACACAAAAATATGTTCTCTGTAACATTTCAAGAAGCCTCCAGGACAAATCCAAGGCACAAAGAGGGCACAGCTTACCACTCTGTTGAATTCCAGGTCTGGGTTGTGCTACAGTTCACTCTCAATTTACTAATACCCAATCCTGCTGATTAACATTTTTAATCTCTTTCATACTTTATTGTACACAAGCCTAACCTAATCATTGTCAACTTTGGTTAAACCCTCTCAACACTTGAAGTCTTCGATATTCTAAGATTTTGAGATCATAACAATACCCCTCAGCACACTGCAGACAAAATTGATCTCAAGATAGACTACGCATAAGGTTTGACAACCTAGTAAAAAGACATCTAAGACAGAAAACAATTGTTTTTGAATACCTGGATCTGCCAAGCCACTGCCATTTCTGCCAGAGAGAGCCCTGAGTGCCTTGAAGCCAGAACCAGCAAGGCTGATCAGATGAACCCAGGCATCTAAAACTCCAGGTGTCAAAGGTAGCTTGTCTACATCAAAGCTCAGAACTGGGACCTAAACAGGGTGGGAAAAAGGGTCACTGGAGTGAGATACATACTTTGTAGACTTCAGAACACCTGTCACATGCCCAGAAATGATTAGAAGACACGTAAAATGAGATCAAAGACGAGAATAATCTTCTTTGACATCATCTTACAAGATCTGATGGATCAGGGATTCAGTTATGAAGCCAAATTCTGAGACTGAAGACTCATTTTGAAAACCTTTTGATCTTGAATATGTGTAATTTATGAAGCCCCTCCCATTAATCAATATTCAGTTAATCTACTTGCAAGCAGTAATTGGCTTGTGTAGTGTGAGAAACACTAACCACTGTGAGGGAGGAGAGTCGACAAACCCGGAGTACCCGTTGGTCCTCAAACTGCACTGTCAGGCGACCACTGGCTGCAATGTTAGCCACTGTCCCCAGACCAAACTCTTCGTGTTTGACCAGGCCACCCAGACGTGGTCGGCTGTCCAGGCCACCAATCATGGCAAGAGCTGACATGACGGCACCGTCCTTGGCAAGGGTGTCTTCTTGACTCACATTACGAGGCTATTGGGACAAAGATATAATAAACTTGAACTTCCTTCAACGAGACAAAAAAGGACAGAAGGCCAAACTCTTCAACATTACAACTAGCCATATGTAACTAGAGATCATTTACATAATTGTAGCAAAAAGTTTTTCAAGCTAGAAAAATAAACAATGCACAATGAAGAACATCCTAAGAGTCAATATAGAATGTTGAACACGTTTTCAAAGTTGAAGAGGATCTACAAGACAAATTTTGGTAAAATTTGTGTATAAGCTGTATAAAGACAACAGTATATCTAGACAATATGAATATTTATGGTGTAAAATAAGAAAACTAACATAATGCAGACTTCAAAACAGGACTTTGAACATAGGAGCTACTTTAAACCAGTGATTTGTGTAAGTGCTAAATATCACTCAATAAATCTCTGAGTAGCACTGCTTTGGTGAAGTCAGAGTAATCTGATTAAGACTTTTCCCCAATTTGCTGGCAAATATTCACAAGGTGTTTATAAACATCTCATTAGCATACTGACCTCAGCATGACCTTCCTCCAGCAGGATGTCCGTGACTGCACTAAGCTGCTGTGTGATGTAATCACTGATGGTCAGGTTCCAAGCTGGTAAGGTATGTAGACGGCGAAGTAGGATTATGACCTCCTCAGCTACAGTGCTGCCCATGGAGGCAGTCAAGGAGACTTTACAACGCAACTGCTTCTTCCCTTTGTTACTAACATCCCCTGTGAGGAAAACAACGGTAACATTTCTTAATATTCATTGCTTTCTTGCACTCTACCCAGATTTTTTTAAAATAATTGAGAAGGAAAACTCTAGAGACCTTTCAGCCAAAAACCTATGGGAAGGAAGAAAAATCTTTTCCAAGCGATGAGAGATACAATACTGCTGCACGCTAATCTGGCCACATGTATAAAGACACCACTGCCATACGGCAACACACTGGGCCCATTTCGGGAATAAAGGAAATTACGCAACACCACACAATTCTGGGCTCTCTTTACTGGGCGGCAGGCCTCGCTGCAACACCCGGGCGTCAATTGAGGTTGCTTGTGAGATTAGAGTAGCCTCCAGACAGTCATTTGTGTGGGTGTAAGCATCCAGTAAATGAAGTTATGAATTTTTGAACAATTTCGAAAATGGAAAATCAGGAAAAATCGCCCAGCAACTCGTCCCACATGTGCAAACTCCACCCGCGGGAAGTGGTAAATAAAGGTGTACGGTGACGTTTCTGAACTTTAGAAACTAAAGAACTTTTGTATTTATTTTTCATTTATTGAGTAATAAACAAATTCTGAAAAGAAGTAAAATAGAAGGTCAATAATCCACACTGATGTGGGTTTTTAAAGCACCTACTTTGTTTTGCACTGTACAACATATTAACTGACTGGAAACAGGAGTAACTGACTGCCACTGGGGCACCTGTGCTAACCTGTGAATGGGTAGGGCAGGTCAGCTGAGCAGGCCAGTAGCATTGAGCCCAGTAGAGTAAAGAGTTTCTTGACCAGCGTGTTGGTGCGCAGAGATGGTTCTGTCTGCTCCCAAGCTGGTAAGACTGCTCTAAGTAGACGGAGAACCAAGATCTAGGATGGGACAAGACAGTAGGACAAACATAAGCAGACTTCACTGAAAAAAGACTACAATGAAATTATCATATCAGTACAAAAAAGTTGTTTGAGCAGTGGTGAATAAAAATTCATTCATTTGCTCAATCTGTGCACCTGACAATTGACAATGACAATTGTGAAGATCAAAAGATCAAACTGGTTAACTCCCAAGAATCCCAGCTCCTATTGAAACAAGTAACAAGCACCCACTTTCACACTGTGATTAGATTCAAACTCACACAATGACAAAATATACCAGTAGCAGAACTAGTTGTAGTCAAGTGTCCTGCTCAAGAATACAAAATCCCATTAGACACCTCATTCAACATGTTCTATACAAGGAGAGACTCAGAAGTGGATCCTGGTCATTCATTATGAGCCCACCTGCGTGGTGATGGTCTCTGGGGTGATGTCTGGTGTCTTGACCATACCCAACAGCAGCTCAATCCAGTCAGGTGTACTGAGGGCTCGGCAGAGGCTGGGGGCACTGGCTACGCTGGAGATGAAGCCCAGGGTGGCCCACTCATGGTACTGCTGGCTGGCTACCAGCCTGGATGGAGACAGCTCCCCTGAAACGATGGAAACAAAATCTCAGGGATGAATGTCAGAAATCAACAGAAAAATATTGAGGATTCAATCAAATAAAAATTGCCTGGCACTGAATTTATACTCAAAGATCTTTAGATGCTGCAGGTTAACATCTTTGTCCAGTCAAGCTGAACAAAGAAAGTGATCACAGCAAAATTTAAACTCAGCTGACTTCCAGTTGTCACTGGTTGCAGGTTCACATCCCACTCCAGTCAATTTCTCAATTTCTAAAAACTATCTACAGTGAACCCATTAAGTCTTCCCAACTTATGTATTTGACAATCAGACAAAACATTTCACACATTTACTGAGCTAGTTTAGGGATAAACCGACAACGCATTACAGTCAAATTACTTTCCGTGACATTTCTGGTCAGTGAGCAGATTGTCTAAATAAATCTTGTCAAGGTCCATAGCTTATTTCCTTCTGATTCCAACCCACCTTCAGTTGATGGCTTGGCATGACCAGCTTCTACCAGTGTCCTCAGTAGTCCGCACAATGTCTTGGTGGCATCCCGCTGCATGTTCTCAGCATGGATGCCACAGCTGAGGGTCAGCAGCTGGAGGAGGCAGATGCTGGACCGGCGGATCAGGGCAGTCGGGTGGCTGCTCTCAGGACGCTTTTTGGCAGCTGTAACATTTTTCACATGGAATGAATAGGGCAGTAAGATCATGACAACAGTTCATCAATCTCACGCGAGAATGTCATCATCATCAAACCTGTTTGATGCAAATGATTCTTATGTATATGTAAAGCGTGTATGAATAAATAACAAACAATTTCAAATAAAAAGTTACAGGAAGACCAGTCTTCTGTAGCAAGCAAGTCTGACTTCCGAAAGGATCTAATTCTGTAAATGATACAAGCTGATTGCTGTCACAACATTAATTTGGACGATCTCAACTATTAATACTGGGCAGATAATCCCCTTTTTAGGCAGTGGAAGATCCCTCTTTACCTGGATCTATTATGCACTCTTTCTCATCCTCAGCCAGTTCCACTATCGGCAAGGGGCCAGCCAGCTTGAGATCATACTTCCCTTCCTTGCCCATACGGTAGGAGTTAGTGCTACCTGTGTCCCACTGGACCCGGATCCAGCCATCCTCCCCTAGCTCTCCTATGACCCGCCCCTCACTGGGAGGTGGTCCATCCTGGAAAACATTGTTGAGAATGTATCAAAATCTGAATAACAATCTGTTGCAGGATGGAGTTCTAGAAACTGCAGCAAGATGTCAAAAATGCAATCAACTAACAACTGGGATTTGGCATTCTTATAATAAATCACAGATCTAATACATAAATCTAAGACAACAGCACGCAAATCTACAACCACAGATTTAAGGGAACTGTTAACAGATGTAGGACAACAGACCACAGATCTGGAACAACAGACCACAGATGTAAGACAACAGACCACAGATGTAAGACAACAGACTACAGATCTAAGAAAACAGACCACAGATCTAAGACAACAAACCACAGATCTAAGACAACAAACCACAGATCTAAGACAACAAACCACAGATCTAAGTCAACAGACCACAGATCTAAGACAACAGACCACAGATCTAAGACAACAGACCACAGATCTAAGACAACAAACCACAGATCTGAGCCAACAAACCACAGATCTAAGTCAACAGACCACAGATCTAAGACAACAAACCACAGATCTAAGACAACAAACCACAGATCTAAGTCAACAGACCACAGATCTAAGACAACAGACCACAGATCTAAAACAGACCATCGATCAACAACCACATACCTATGACCAAAAACTAGAGATGTAAAGACATCAGCTTACATATCTACAACCACAGACCACACATCCAAGGCCACTAACTGCACATGTAAGACTACAGACCACAGATCTACGACAACAGATCATCCATCTTACACCACAGACGACAGATCTAACATAAGAAGTATCAGCTCTTACCTGATCTCCCCATTTCCAATCTTGTCCTCTCACCACTCGGGTACCAATCTTCATCATGCCAGCCAACTCTGGTCCACTGGTTGGCATGGGGGGCGGCTGGGGCGTGTTGCGTGTCTCTTCAAACACTGTAGCTGGCAAGGGGCTGTCGTCATCGTTATAACAGTCATGATCTGGGCCTGGAAAATCAACAGTGAAGGCAGTTTGAAAGTAGGTATTTGAGGAGCTCACAGAAACTCATTCAATGGTGCCTGCATTTTATTTGAAAGCACTTCAACTCAGCATCTCTTGAACCATGCCCTGAGCAATCTATGGAACTCAAATGAGCATGAGAATATTACAGAAACTAATTCCACATTATTCTATTCTACCATATGTCTCAGCTCAGCCTTTGTTTTTTTACAACCTTGCAAGAAACAGGAGTTGTAAAGGGATTTGTAATCTCTTACCAGTGAGTCTCAGGATTGTCTGCATTAATCCCAGTACTCCAGAGTTGAGTAGCAGACTCACGCCACAGGCTAGGTGTTCCTTGGTCAACATTCCTAAGGTAGCCAGGATGAAGCGTGCCTGGGGTAGCACTCCCAGGGTCAGCCCGTTGTCCTCCTCTTCTTCGTCTTCAATGGCCGCCTGCGCCGAGCAGCTCAGCGTCTCATTGGCTGACAGTACCTGGTGGCGCAGCTCATCCACAGCCCAGCGGCTCAGCTTGGCAAAGGTGGTCTGGAGGATGACGCGGTCGTAGGGTGGGATCAGGGCCACGTTGTTCAGGCAGTGGGTGCTGGCGTCGTGGACAAGATTGGGGTGGGCCAAGCCGGTGTCAGCGTGCTGGTCAGCTAAGCCCTGCCAGCCGCACAGCATGGCATAGCGGACCGAGGGGATGAGTTGATCCTTCCTGAGCTGGGCTAGCATGGCATCAGCCCCCTGCAGGCGACTCTCAGCTCTAGCAAGCTGTAGGAACATAACAAAATAACCAACTGTGATTGCCTACTGCTGTAACATCTCACACTGAAACTGTGAAGAGTACTTCTAGTTAAGGTTACATGGTATCAGTTTTCAAGCTGAGTACTGTCTGCCAATGCAGCATGATTCGGATATTCCCAAAGCTACAAATGTGTGGTACTAGTGTCAAGAAAGCGACCTCATTTAGCTCTTGTAAGTCAAACAGCAACCTCTAGCATTCAAGCACAAGGCCTCTATGGATCAACAGCAAGTATTTAACCACTTAGCGCAGGTGGCAGTTATCAATGTTGATGATGCTGGGAAGGGATAATTATCATTTTTTTCTGGTTTCAAAATCTTCATTTACTGGACACTTACACCCACTCAAAGGACTGTCTGGGCCTACTCTAATCTGACAGACAACATCTATTGACCCTAGAGTATTTCAGCCAGGCCTGCCGCCTTGTAAAAAGAGCCCAGTTTTTGCAGTCTAACGTAATTTTCGTTTGTTCACAATACTGGCACAGTGCACCGCTGATCTCTTTTCAATGGGGGCCAGATTAGCATGCAGCGGTACTGTGTGACTCATCGCTGAGGTGGTGGAGCGCTTTTGTCCCTGGTTGTAATCCACTCGCGCTAAATCCGCAAAACCATGGTATACTGTTTCAAAACAAGGCTGGATTATCTTCACGACTGAGAGTGAAAAAAATAATGGTAATGCCCAGCAACCTGGTCTTTTGATAGAGGTACGGTCTTTTGTTACAAGGCCCAGTTCCCTTTGTCCGATTTTGGAGACCCCAGCTACGCATATAAAAAATACGTGTCCCGTATTGGAAACCCCAACGGCAAGTGGTTAACATTGCATATTTGGCTGGAGAACATGTATTTCCCATCTTAAATGTTAAGTATGGGATTTACTTACATGTGAAATCATCAGATAACCCTAGGAGGCAACTAATGTACTGGGAACTTAACTGATCAGTTATTGGACCTACTTGGGCATACAGCGCCATCCGGAGCTTCTCCAGATCCAAGGTGTTGTCGTTGATGGTGAATTCCACAATCTGGCTCATGAGGGCAGTCTGCGTAGAGGCACCTGTCATGCGCTGTCGCAGCCACTTGAACTTACGGGCGCTGGTGATTGCACTAACCACTGCCCTCCAGGAATCCTGCTCCACAGATCAACAACAGTGAGTTCACGACTCAGGATTTCTTACCAACAAAGTAGCAACATTCACCTTTTTTAAACACAAATAATCCACAGACATAAAACATGCACTGATATCTTAACAGTTCTACTGGATTGTAAAGGATGACTTCAAGATTCAGCTTGAAAAGATTCAGTCCTTAAGGGGGCTTACCAGTAAGGCCTCACCATTCTTCCAAGTTAAGTCCGCTTTTTTAACGGCAAGTTTGTATTGGGTGACTAAATTCAACCGGACACCACACAGTTCTACAAATCAGCCTCTCGATGGCGGAGGAATTACAGGGAACAGTTTGGAATACACAACACAAAATTAAACGCTGCTTTGTAAAACAAAATAAAAGACTCTATCACTGTGTGTACATTCGTTGCAAATCCTTTTTTTTCACAGACATGCATAAAAATACAAAAATCCCAAAGCTTAAAGCACAGATGCATGGCCTCACTCATGAATAAAAATATCTTCAAGCAAGAAGGAACATGTTTGCTCCATGCTCAGTGCAATCATGTCCAGATCAGACTAGTTGTGGCAGTGATGCACTGGCACTAGGCCCACATGACTCGACTAGTCCGTACCATGGCGAAAAGAGAAAAGGTAGAGGGCGCTCACGACTGTCAAGTTGTGTAATGAGTTCAAACCGACTAGCCAAGCTCAGTGTGTACATACTTTACATGGGCAGGGTGCATTGCCAGTGTGTGGCTGCTCTGAACAGGCGATCACGAGTGCATGTTGTGCACACGTGACGCTGTGCTGCATGCTCTGCAGGGCCTGGCAGGTACTCCACTGTGTAGTTGTGGGCACGTACATTTAACTAGTCGCACGCGCCTACTATCATCACTGAACCACTCAATCATTGACTTCAGGAGTTCCAAATTTAAATTATAGCATAATAATCGACATGAATGAACATGCCGTTCCGTATCACGGTTTGACCAGGCTCTCTGGAACAAACAGGTCTTTGAATCAGCCGTTCCGATCGCGGACTTTCCAGTTGACATTGATATTTAAATGACCAGACCTAAATTTGCATAGGGCATTCTGAATGCAGAGTGAATGGAATATTCATGTTAGCAGATTAAGACACACCACTCTTGCTGCATACAGTCGTCGTTGTCAAGTGCCTCTTTTGTTAGAAAAAGTTCACGGACTCCAGCGGACTTCCCCCGCGAAGAATGGTGAGGCCTTACTGGTAAGCCCCTCAAATTATGATGTTCATCAAGTTTAAAGTTTTTAACTTCCTCAATAAAAGAAAAAAATCCTTCCACATTGCTTTTTGGAGTGGTGATGGTACAAGCAGCATGACTGCATCCAAGGAAATACCTTATCTTTTGCAGGCTTCTTCTCTGTCTTTGGCTGCTGCTGTTTAGCAAAGATTCGAACCACTCCTGCACCACCTACGGCTCCAGGCTCCTCACTCTCTGCCTCACCACCCTCTGTTTTGGCCTTCACGTCTTTGGTTCCCTTCTCTTCCTTGCCAGATGCTGCAGAACAACAAAAACAGTCATAAGGTAAGACTGTATCCGAACCTGTCGTCTAGAGTTAGATCTAGGTCTGCACCCGCTGAAAACATACAGGAACACACTGACAATTGATGAAGCCGTATCTATGGAAGCCCATTTTGGATATGACTCAAGACTGCTGAGCATTTCCAAAGTTCACATCATCACTGACGCTTGACGATTGAGACAAGCCAGGTATGGCAATCACACTTTGATCACATTCCAAATAGTTCCATTGTTAGTAAAAAAGCACTACCTGAAACAGCAGCTGCGGCAGCTGTAGCTCGTCGTTGTCGGATCATCTTCAGGACCACCTGCTTCCAGCGTGGCGGCGTACTCAATATCTTGAGCCTGGACAACGTTGACACCTCGTTACCAATGGCTGGACGTAGCTCGGTGAAGAGGAACCTACAACGCTGGATGACTGGGTTGCAGACATCCTCGTAGGGGTAGGACAAATCTTGACGGGCCTAAGGCAGGTAAAGATTTCCCTCAAAGTTAGCTCTTTTGCCAGCATGAAAGGCTGGTGCATTAAGCCCTACCACTTTATGTTTTGGCTTATCACAGGCACCCCCGTAAGAAAATTACTAAAGTCAGGTGCATTTAACCTGTATGAGAGGATCTTACAAAGTGATATTGCAAAAGCACTCAGAGCAGCCAATGTGCACAATGGATCTGGCTAAGAAAGTTACAAATGAAGGTGATATTTCCACTTTCTCTTGCAAGTTCTCTGCTGGTTAATAGTTAGCATTACAGATGAGAGGAAGCAAGCCTCATACATCCTAAATTGAATAAGAAACTTGTCCTCATCTGTTACTTTTCTGCGTGAAACTAGTACATGGTACACACAAATTGCTAATGTGATAAAATGCTTGCAGCATAGTCCAATACCTTAATGAGTGAGCGTTTGGCCTGGCAGACTACTTTGCAGACTTCAGCAATGGATTTTGGCATGGCCGAGTGTCTGAGATGTCCCAGACTGTCCCCCTGTGCCCCGTGTTCAACCAGGGCTAGCGCAGCGTGCCCCAGGTCGTGATGCTTCAAGATGCAGGCCATCAACAGTCGGCCGACCACCTCCATGGGGTGCGAGGGTGGAAACTCGATGGGAGGGACTAGGTGATGCAGGCGGCAGTAACGGTCACAGTGGACCAGGAAGGCCTTGACGGCAGGGTCCTGGAGCCTGCTGTCAGCCAGGGCCTGAAGGAAGGGCCGGGCTGCGTCTGCCAGGGAGGCTGAACGGGCAAAGTGCTTTTGGTTGTCCTCATACTTCCCCGGGGCTTGCACAGGTGTAGTGGCCGGCGTGGAGGCATTGGAACCTGGCCTGTCAAAGCGCTCCAGGACGCTGGGGCGCTGGCCCAGCTGCAGGCCACTACTAAAGAGTGGTGAGTCCAGCCATTGGCTGTTGCCCACCTCGGCCGGGTGGAGGGAGTTGTCACAGGCCTGGTGGCAGGAGGTAAGGCCAATGAGAAGACCCAAGGCTCGCTCAGCATCAATGAGAGGAGATGAAGTACAACTTGAGTCGAGAGTTGGGATGACAATATCTTCTTCAGGCTGAGAGGGGAAAAATTACACGAGAATAATGGTTTACCTAAGGTTTAAATTGCCAAACTGTATTTCTCCAAGGTTCTACTTCTAAATCTTTTAATGTACAAGTTAAAACTGATATCACTGTAATCATTCAAGAAAATCTATCAGGGGAAATCTAATCATCGTTTGTTTTTTTTCTTCTTTTTTTAACCTACCCTGACATACATCCCCACGAAGAACCTTTCCATCAACAGAACAGCCTTGGCTGAGTGACCAACACTCTGGAATTCTTCTGTTGCATCTTTGGCTGCAACAACATATAAGGAGTTTTAAAAAGACAGATTATCACATGGCAAGTGGAAAGCAATGCAAAATGCAGTGGCTTTGAAAGATTATTGGGTAGGTAATTCTGTCAATCTTTGATTTTGGTTCTCCCTAGAAAGAATACAACAGTTAATAGTGCCCTTCATCCAATTAACATCTATCAATAAACCAATCTGCCCTCACAGGTACCCAAGTGTTCTTGATTGGAGTTACACATTTGTTGCAAAATGTCTTACTTATGGACACAAGTTCCAATTTTGTCACTGCAACCACATTGTACATTTCTCCCATTAGCAGATATAGAAACCCCACAAGATTATTTTGTACCATACTCCAAAAGCCAGCTAAGGGTTCTTTCATGATGACAGCCTGTGCAGGCTGAGTTGCGCAGTGTGCAAATCTACTTTCTAACTGAATGCACTCAAATAAGTGCAATACAGCATGTTTCTTGCGATAACGTTCATGTGTGACAAGCACTTGTGTGTAGAATTGTGGGATATAAAATGGCAGAAAGTGCATCCAATGACCAGTGCTTTTCACAAGTTAACACAAGAGAGATTAACGGTAGTGCATAAGGCCCGTACCTGCATATTGTTGCAGCCTGTCCTTTCCGCATGGGGCAGTGCAGTGGAAGTCCTTCAGGTCATACACCTTGCCGTTGATGACCACCCACAGACCTCCATCCTTATTGTGGTTCTCCAGGTCAGCTTTACGGATCAGGGGGACGTCTTCAGGGGTCACAGGGGTGTCTGCGCTGGCACCTCCTGATGCAGACATACCAGAGAGGCCTCCTGAGGTTAAATTGAAGGGAACATTCCACGTCAAATCCAAATCACAGGTCTAAAGAAAATCTTGGGAAACTACTCCCGACTCAATTCTCTGACCCATGGTCTAACGGGACAGAGCACTGCTCATCATCAGACCTCTGAATTAACATTTGGAGCTGGACTGTATTCGGGGATGTACTTTACAAATGATACAGAAGAAACATGCACTTGTGTTATTTTTGGTGTCAAAAGTAACAGTCTATGTGTACAAAATTAAACAAATACTTTTAGATCCAAGAGGCCTGATTTCAGACATGTCTGATAACTGTTAGCAGTAGTAACATGCTGTTCACTGGACTAGCAGAAACAGAAAATACTGACTGCAAGATAAGTGGACATGGACATGGGAGAACTCATAGATGCTAAGCAGAGAAATTTCTGCTTACCAGGGCAGTGACCTCTAAGATGGCCTGACCAAGCCAGGTCTTCTACGTCCTCCTTCTCCATGCCGGGAGACAGCCTGTTGAAGACATCCAGCAGGTCCACTAAGCTGGCGAGGTCAGAGATGGGGACGGAACGACGCTTCACCTGCAGCAAGACCAGGCTGGTGATAAGCTCCGGCAGCAAGACACCTGCAAATGAGATCAAAGGATTTATCAATTGCTATATCAACTGATAAGCCAATTAACCCATGCTGCAGGTGCTTTTATTTTCTGAAATCCTAAAATCCTGTATTGTGCAGGATACTGATACACGTTTTTTTTATATGACTCACAAAGAGCATCAAGTCTTTTGTTTTAAAAAGTAACAGTGGCTGGGCTGCACCTCAATCTTGCAAAATCCTAACAGATTTTGAAAAATCTTGGAGGGCTGGGTTAGTAATATAATAAGATCGTACTGACAAAAAATGACTTCAACATGTAGGAATTACAAGCCGTCTCTGACTTTCTGAACTTCAATCAACATACTTTTAACCACTGTCACACCATTTGTTCAAATCTGCTTCACTACATTCAGCCAACTGAATCATTTTAGGCATCATTCCCAAATTGCCTATGTGTTCGTGGACGTGTTCGTAGACGTGGTCATTTCACAGAATCGTGGAGAGCATGCGAATTCCTGCCAAACAAAAGAGCCATAAGCAACTCAGTGGATCCGTGGACGGAACGCAACATGTAAGCTTCATCAAAATTACCAACCTCATAAATACGCCCGATTTTCCAATTAAAAAGAAAACAGACCAGCGGCTAAACTACCTTTCAAGAGCTGCTGAACATTTTTTGTGACAGCTAGTGCTGCAGTCAAACCACTTGATCGAGCCCAGACTTATAGAACATGGCACTTTCAAGCTGAACCAAACTGAACCACATGTACTGGTCAGTTTGGATGTTTGGCTTTGACATAAGACATGGTATTGATAGCAAACGGAATGTACTTAAGAAAACTTGATAATAAGCAAACACAATGAAAAACAGAAAACAAGTTTCAATATATGTATACGCTGCATCCGCGCTGGGCAGATATGCAGGTACTCATGGTGCGTATTGCGGCTATGTACAGTAAATTTATGATGGCCCCAGATCACATGTGTAAAATCCACGCAGTGAGAATTCACATATAATCAACCAAGAACATGCTACATCCAACTGGACTTTATTCAGACAAAATATTATGCATGTCAATCTCCAATATTCATGCCGTTACATTCCATATTAGGAATGTAATGAAGTCATAAATGAACATGCAAAACAATTTTGATTGGATGCTGATCCTAGTTGGACTCAATGTTCAATTAAAGGTAACTACATAGGAAAAAAAACAGATTTTGCCAGGTGAAGCATAGCAGCACTTCAGTGCGAGACTAGAGTTGGTGCAAGCAGGGGCCAAATAAACTTTCCTCTTGTTTGGTCAATATTGTAGTATTTATAGGCCGTAAGAGAATTTTGCCAGATCTATAAGTTGTTTGCAGATTTCAAATAACATAATACTATTATCTGTTCAAAAAAAAGACTGATGGAACATTGCCCCTTTGCATATTGGACATGGTCCCTGTCTTGGGAAAGAACGCTGACTTCATACCAGAGTCCTTCGAATAATCAAATACCACAGTTTGGTAGTTGAATCTGTTCCATGAAAAAAAATAACCACAACACAATTCACTCTATATCCAGTTTGATTTTGTGTCCTGTAAAGTTGGGAATCCGATATGAGCAAAATGTTTTTCCCATGTCCTACGACTGTTTGTTGAGTCAAGCATGGTTCAAACACAGCCGGTTTGGTTGGCGAAACACGGTCGGAAAATTTCACATCGCCTCCGACTATAGTATTCCAAGGAATTATAACACCTTGATAAACTTTGGGGAAACCTGTTGAAATCAAAGTTGCTCATGGCTGTGGGATGGAGAAGATTCAATACTTGTATTTATGTATGATTTATACATGGAAGTACTACGGCACTTTCGTAGCGAGCTCTCAATGTGCATTGACCACTGCACATATACATGTACGAATGCAAATGCGTGTACATGTCCCAACCCAAACCGAAGTTTGGCAAAAATTTCTTAACGACCATAACGACCCCATTGTCTTTAATAAATGTTGATACTGGGAGTGGGGGAACGTCTTTTCCACAGAACAGCTGTTGGTATGCATGAGGTCCAGAGAAATCATGCTTATCCGTGATGCTTTCTGTCGCGATGACAAAAGCCACATGGCCGCCTAGCTCATTAAACCCCCCACGCTTCAGCGCACACCTCCGTTGCATCCGCAGATTTCAAGGATTAAACAATTTAAAATTATGTGTGATCAACCTTACCTGACAGGTCTGACTCAATGATACTTGCGACGGTTGAGAACTGTTTGGGAGTACGCGCTGCCAAGTCTGAGGCTGCAGGGAGCACATCATGGATGTGAGTAGACAGAAGACTGATGTACTTCCTCAAGAGAGATATAGCACCACGAGTCTCAGCAGCTGCAAAATGACAATAAAGACAAGCTTTATTAACATGAAAGTGCAAAGAGAATTTTGAATTCAAAGATCAAAAACTGTCATCCAAAAACACAGGACACAGCAGGATGCATTTCACTGGTCATAAACTTGATCAAAATATTTCACCTTTATGGAGCAAACACAGCTTACCGGCCAAATCTTAAACAGTACATTCATGACAATTGCTAGTGTAACCGCTTTACCCCATGCCTTCCCTTCAAAACGTAAAGACCATTGCCATCTAAAAGACACCTAACAGTTGATCATGTGGCTAAAACCAAAGTCCTACAGTGATTTCAAGTAGTAATTTCATTTCATACCACGCTCTTCTGGACAAGTAATAAATCATCATTATTTGTGGATGCAACATTGTTTGAGTCTCCACTCACATGTTGCCTGGCCAGAGGCCGACTTGCGTCGCTGGCTTTCAAAGGGGAAAAGGAAACAGACCAGGAGTCTCTGGAACTTGAGTAGAAGCTCCATGGAGGTGGACTTCTCATTTTTGACCATGCTGGGAGGGGGGTCGCTCTTACTAAAGTCCACTGACAACTCCTGAAGCTTGGACAAGGTGATGGATGATGCATTCCTACCAAAAAATCATATTGACAAATCAATTCATGAACACAATAGTCTACTCAATGATGACTTAAAACTGAGAAAAACATGAAAAAGTTATAACTTTACTACATGAAAAAAAGAAATAATGGGGGGATAAAGAGCCATTTCAGATTTGCTCAGGAAATTCAATTAAACTGTTTTAATCAAACCTACCATTCTCCTTCTTTGGGTTTAAGATTACATTCGGACAAATTCAAACAATTTGCATTTGGGGTTGGTTTTGCATTTTCAGAGCCAATATTGCTCATCTGGTTAAAATGTAGACACAGAAATGATGGAGAAAAATGAGTAAACCAGAACGAACTTGAGAAGCTGCTGCACTAGTTGCAGAAGTGGGATGCTCATGCTGATGTCCCTGCTGTCTCTTTGCTGTTCTTCCCTCATTGTCCTCTTCTCAGCTTCCTCTTCAACAACCCCTCCTCTGCCTTCCTTGACCCCTTCAGAGCATGGTGGAGGCTCAGCAACATCTTTCTCCTTCTGGCTTTCCAGTTCTCGGACCTCAGAGTGGACGGCAGCATCCAGCGCTGACTCCAGGCCACCATCAGCCATGAGGCTTCCTACCAGGAGATCCATCATAAAGCGACGCCCAGGAGTCATGGTAACACTCTCACCTCCTAAATGAATAACAAGAAGAAAACTCACTTTTAAGAACAAAAGCAAATATAAATGTTTCATACACGGAATGATCTGTCTACGTAGATCAATTGCCATGTATATTTGGAATCAAGAATGTGACTTCTGATATGGCTGAAGATCAAATTGTGTCCTTGGGCAGGATGCTTCTTGACAAGTAATTCACCAATAAAGAGATGGGTGCCAGAGAAAGAAATAATAAATGAAGACTACATTAACTAACCAATGTGTACACAACTTGAACGTTTCACTGAAACTCACTGAAATAGAAAACTTAAACATTTTGTCCAGATACTGATTTTTTTCTTTTTTTTTTCCTCTTAAACACATCACTTACCACCACTGGGCAGCAGTGCTGACAGTGCCCTAGCTCTCTCCTCAGCAGTGGGTAACAGCAGGGACCACCCCGTCTGCAGAGTGGACTGGGCTGCCATCTGCACTGTGGGTATGACGCCACCATTACTGGCCAAGTCCACTACGCGTTGCTTGAGGTTAGACAGGAGTGTCCCACCCAAGCCAAGGCCCAGCTTCTCAGCATCCTCACCATGGGCTATGGCAGCATGGAGCTGGTGGAGATCCAAAAATCACTTAGGGTTTAGACTAAGTTTGATGTATCCCAGGAGAAATGTGTGGTAAGATTATCTAGACTCCAGGTAAAGACATCCCAAAGCTATCACACCTCATCATTTAGTAGTCACACTACTTCCTACATGATTATGCACATATTATATAAGTGAGAACATATCAAGTCTAAACAGACGAAGATGCTACAGATTATGTAGTGTATGAATTAATTAAACTGTTTTTCAATTTTAGCACAGCAACGTTTATATACATACGAGCGATGAAAGCAAAAATTGACTCCAGACTCAGTGCTGCATATGTTATCTGTGTGGGTAGTTATGCCATTTTGAAGAAACATATAAAAAAAATTTTCAAGTTGAAATTTGTCAACCAACCTGGAGTCTGAGTAGATTTAAGCCTGCCACTGCCATGCACTCTTTCTCCTGGGGTGGGGGCCAGTCACTGGGACCGTCTAGACCCTCACAGACACGCTCGAGCAGACCCTCCAACTGCTCAAAGGTGGACTTGGTGACATGGACACTGAAAGGAATGTTTAGGCCAACTGACCAGTTGCCACTGGATGTCCAGGCAAAGCTCTGGAGGAGCAAATGAATTCAGAAGTATGACAATATGACCATTGTAGAAATTCTACAAATGGAAATTTCCTGCATGAAATATTTAGCTCACAAGGCTGCCTACTGTGTGGTATTAACTGCTAAAAAATGCAAGCAGTGATGATGCAAAAACTCCCTCTGCCAGAAACTAGCTGGCACGGAATTATGCAGAGGTTGTCTCACAATCAATTGGCTTTGGCTTGGAGTATGTGCATCTACAGAAAGTTGTTGTAGCCACTTCCGGGCCACCATGGATGCGTGTGTAAGTTCTAGCCAAAGCCACTAGTTCTTAACACTACCACTACCCAGAGGCTTCCATAGATGCTTGTTTAAGTTTTGGCCAAAGCCACTAGTTCTTAACACTACCACTACCCAGAGGCTTCCATGGATGCGTGTGTAAGTTCTAGCCAAAGCCACTAATTCTTAACACTACCACTACCCAGAGGCTTCCATAGATGCTTGTTAGCTCTTGCCACAGTTGTACGTTGTGACTAAAGCTTAAGGTACTAGTCTCAGATCTTACATTTGTGAAGCTGCAGGCAATACCACTGACTGTCTTCCCTTCTAGCGCAGACACCGTCGTCAGCTCCAGCTTGCTGCCCTTGGCCGCCGTGGTGGCTTGGATGAGCTGACCCTGCAAGACTTCCCCCAAGTCAGTCAGCACCAAGAACTGCCGCTGTCCTGCTGCAACATCCACTACTTTCTTGCTCTGTAGTCCCTCCACCAATTTGGGCAGGCGGAAGTGATCATCTGAGGGCTGGCCCAGTCGATTATCATCACCACGACCCCTAACAAAAGAAAAGGAATGGAAAAATAAAAACTTCTAAGTGGACATGTTCTCCCTTGATATTGGGTAACAGAAGACCATGAAAAATTTCAGAAGCCAAGAAAGCGTGCACAATGCTAATGTTTTGAAGATTCCTTGCAAAAATGCATCATGGGAATTAGGGTTACATTTGTTTTCTAATGTTCATGCCTGAAAAAGTGAGAAAATCAATTTTCCCTCTTATGTTCACTGACTCAGCTGTACTGCTGCATTATACAGACAAAAGTAATGGAAGTAACAAAAGATAAGTGATTACAACTTAATCAGACATTAACTGATATCTTATGCAACCTGTCTGCTGGCAATCTGGATAATGACAATAAGTTTTTAATCAATTTTGTTGAGGAAGGAGAAGAGCTCACATTATTATATATAACTTATCAAGTCTTGCAACAGGATACAAACTTGTTGTGCACTGTTGACAAAGAAATTACATCTTTGTTACTACGATGTGATTAGCTAGTTAAAACAAGGTTTCTGGAGTAAGCCCGTGGAGAACCATGTGAGACAAAAATGACCGGTTACGACAAAAATGTTTAAATTTATGCATAACAGTTTTACTTTGAAACGAATCATTTCCAATTATACTGCACCAAAAAAATGAAGCATCCTGACCCTGTCTTTATTCAGAGGTCCACATGGACCAGAATGAAATGTAGGCTGGAGGTGACTGTTATGAGTCCTCCATGTACGTTTGAAGATCTGCAATCTATCTTAGTTTTTAGGCAGCAGTTTGAGACCATCATAATCTTTCCTCCACCATACCTCTACTATGTGGTTTGAAAATGGTTTCAGTCTTTACTGGCTTATACATGTATACTGTATTATGTGGCGAATGATCTAGAGTGTAAAAATACAAGAAAACTAATACATCAAAAACAGATCAAGAAAAACATGACTTAAAACTCACTCCTTACTCATGTCATGAATGCACCGTGCATAAGAAACTAATGACCAAACAAAACAGCAGAATCCTCAACATGCTGACCACCAAGGCAGAAAAAAGTACATTGTGTGGAATGATGTGCCCTTATGTGCTTCACATTGTGATAGTTAAAAGAGAGGTCACAAAAAGTACCTGCATTCCAGGTGTAAGGATAGATCTATTTATTTAGAGCTAGATCTGAGCAAGAGTCGGGAAATACACAAGGTATGAACATGAAGGGATTACCAGGAAATATTTCAATTTATCTGTAATTAAATACTTAGTTCTTCACTCCATGGGAACAAAAATACTCTTCAAATCCTACGCTGATGTGGCACAAGTTTTCTTAAAGACTTTCCACCAACAGTCAATAATAAAAGTTGTCCGTCCACATCGAGTTCCATAGATCTGCATAATTCAAAGATGATCTGTCCTCTGTAAAGTGCAACACTTTACATGATACCAGTCATGTTATAAATTCAACCAAAGATAAATTCTACCCTGGCAAGCCTGCAAACTCAGGAGAGATATTAAAATTTCCTTACCACATCAAGACAGTGCCTGCTTCCGTCAGTGCTAATGAGAAGCGAGCCCCACAGCAGACCCTGGCCACGTTCTGTTCCTGGAGCTTGTCCACCAGGCGTGGGGACTTGGGGGACTCTCGTTCCTTCTGCCCCAGCTGGCCGTACTCCGCATTGCCCCAGGAATACACCAGTCCTGTTAATAGGAGGATATTCAACAAAGACATGATGCCTGAAACTGTCCAGATGACAATTTTTCTGTTCCATTCAAATTATCTAGGCCTGATATCATCAAGGAAAATATCACCTTGCCAATTCAAATTCTCATAAAGAAATCAGCAGAGAAACAATCACTAAAATAAACAGTTTAACTTTGGAAAGATTGTCTGTGCACAGTAAATTCATGAGCTTTGCAGAAAGATGGCAAAGCCCTTAGGAAATTTTCTTTGAGTCAAAACCAAATCTAGAAATACTCATTCAGGATCCCACGTTGTTGAAGAATTGCTGGATTTCACAGATCTCAATTTTTTTAACTGCTTGAGAAGTTTAATTTATATATTGTCTCTGAAGAAAATGTTTTAAGTCACTGCAGTTTCTCCTCTAAAGAAGTAACAAACTGACAGACGACAAAACTGACCTGTGTTGGTGAGCGCAAGGGTTTGACCATCCTGTGAGCCACAGGCAACCTGCTTGATAACCTGTCCTTTCAAGTTAGACACTAAGGTTGGGTTCAGACGATCCTCGCTATTACCTGACGAACAGTATGGGTAAAAAGACAAAAATTATCACAAAACTTACAAAGCCTTTGGGAATGATGAAAGAATTGAACGCTGACAAAGAAAAGGTCCTTACAGTTTACACTTTGAACAGTTTGTCACTTGACATGAGACTGGAAGACTTGAGATGAACTTGCAATGGATTTCTCGGGTATAATGGGGACTAGTGTGAATTATCAGGGACTGGTGGGAACTTGTAGTCAGTTGGGGGCACTTGCAGGGACATGTGGGAATTAACTTTGACTTGTGGGGAGTTTTGGGGACTTGCAGGGAATTGTGGGGACTTGTGGGGACTTGTAGGGACTTGCTGGGTCTGGGAGAGAATTGTAGGGACTTGTTGGGGCTTAAGGGGATTGACCACAGCACTGCCCCAAACTACATCCTCCTCCCCTCCCCACTGTCACATACCATGTCCCAGTCGCCCATAAGTTCCTGATCCCCATGTGTACAGCTCGCCTTTGGAAGTGATTGCAGAGCTGTAACCACTCCCAGCTGCAATGAATACAATACGCTGTGATGACTCCTTGGCCCCAAAGAGACTCTTTACAAGTGTTGGTTCCGTGCAGGAACTACAGAGAGAAAAGATACGAATTGAAACACAAAATGTCATAGGTTTATTTACTAGAAAGCTATTCATTACAATGGAAGTTTCCATTCTCCAGAGGGACTCACTTCCAAACTGTGGTTCATATGCATTTTTCCCCCTGTTCACACAATAATGTCCAATTTTATTTACTCTATAGCCTACTGAGACTCACTGAGTGGGGATGTGTATTTTCTTTCCTTCAAATGACATCCTTACAACCGTAACTTTAGCAGCTGAGGCATAACTGTAACAATCGTAACTGATATAACAAAAAATATAGAAACATTCACCCTCTGAAAGAAAAACAGGGCACAAAGTCTGAACATTTTTTTAAAACTTCCATCCATACAAAACATCATTTTCTATAACAATGCATATGGTGAAATAGGAATACATACAATCATTAATTCAAAGATCAATACTGAGCTTGATGCCCTTATACTGTGTCCAGGTGGCAAATTAATTGTGGGTTAAACTTTAACCAGAAGAGCAATTCAATGAAACTGTTCATTCACATTGAGTGCATCTTCTCGACAGCCGTTCAATAAAATTGTGTGGAATTTAATGTGTCCAATGAACTCAACAAAACTGTTTGGAGACTGCCAATTCTACTGTGTGATGATTTGAATTGCAAACTCTCTGAATGTCATATCCATTACACTAGAATTCACCAGAAGGAAAATTTGACACTTTACAGAGTCTCCACAATGTCATTGCCAGTGAAAGTAATACCACCACACCTCTGTGATTCCCCTAACATGGACAAAATGTCATGCAGTGGTAGAGATTAAACTATGGAAGGGGGATTCATACAAAATCACAGCAAGGGACTCTTCCTTTTTCCCCAAAACTCACTGACTAGTGAACTCCATGTCTACGTCCTCCATCCAGACAGTCAACTGTAATTTAACCACCAAGACTAACAGGAAATGGCAGACACATACCGTTTGTCCCCATGTCCCAGCTCTCCTGATTCACCACAGCCCCAGGTGTACACCTCCCCCTCAGCCGTCAGTGCCATGAAGTGCTTGCCTGTGGGATGTGTGGCCAACTGCACTATGTCTTTCTTGGCCAGGGTGTCGATGAGCTCGAGGTACTGCAAGGCAATGTACATTACAGAAATAAAAAATGAGGTCATTTGAGGTCAGTCCAGGTCATTTATATGATGCTTCCTTTATGGGTCTCAACAAGAATGTTTGCTCCTAAAGCTCACACATCAAGAATGAATTCCAAAAGTAATAATTCAATTCTAACAAAAAAGTCTCTTCAAGTCTTATCACAAGTTTCCCACATAAAATCATGCTGTGTCAAATCACAAGTGATTAAACAAATCTGATTAAAGCATCTTTTATCACTAATATCTTGTTACTTATGACTAAAAAAGGTAAGGACTTGTGACTGGACTTGTGGAAGGACTTATCCCTAACAGTGCGATGACCAGTCTCACCGTTTCGGTGTCACCCTTCTGCATGTACACCTTGCCAGTCCGGGTCAGGATTAGGGTGCAGCCCTCTCCACAGACCAGCTGCACCACACCAAGGTTACTGAAGGCAGGGACAGGCACTAGGGCAGTGGATGCAGAGGAGCTTGGGGGGTTCTTAGTGAAAGGAGATGACCGGTTGACCCAGACCTCCTGGCCCATGGGAATGACTGGCCCCTAGGCAAAAACAAACACAATATTTTTGTCACTTTGAAATTCCTATTCTGTTGCAGGACTTTTGATTTGTACAATTTGAATACTGCTTTAGAACAAACGCAGGTCAACTTTTGATTTTAATTTTTCCACTCACTATTTGCCCAAAGTAAGTTGAAATTTTCAAAGGAAAACATGGTACCTTTTTAAAATGAAGACAATTTAAAATTCTTTGCATGATGACTGCATTTTCCTTTTTCAGGTTAGTTTGGTGGCTTGAGAAGTGTATAATCCAGATACCGTTTCCTCACATGGGACTTAGATAGATTTGGACAGAATTAGACTTGTTCCGAGAAAAAAAATGCCCCAGCCATTAACATACAATACCAATCTTTAATCATTTGGACAATGCAAGTTGAAGGACACAAAAGTCATCCTCCCACATATCTTTCAACCTAAATCACAAACCACAATGAACAAAAGGTATATACTTCCAGCTGTGCATTACCTTTTGGCATATAGTGCTGGGCATGTAAGGTGCAGCCAGACGATCCAAGTGGGACATGATGATGACGGCAGCCTGTTGTAGATCTATTGATGCATCGTCATCGTCCGGTAAGGTCAGGTAGCGAAGGAAACATTCAGTGGGACTGACCACAGCAGGGCTGAGATACTGGAAAACAAGACAAAACAATAAGTAAACAAAAGGGCACAGTTAAACAATCTAAAGAACTGTACATAGGAGAACAAATTTTTCAAAAAATAATAAGGGACTTTTAAATGAGTCACCTCCTAAAGAACTGACAAGTTAATAAAGTTGTTGATGTCTCAGTATGTTCCCACTATTGAAAAAATTGGCCCAATTATGAATTACTTTAGAGCTGAATCACTTAAACTGCAATTTTCGAACAGCAATGTCTCAATAGGGGATTTGATTCACTGTGGTATAAAAACTTACATCATCCTGGTTGCTGTTCTCAGCTGTAAATTTGCCCTTGGGGCTGGGTATCTCCTGGAAGCGTTTCAGCAGTGGCATGAGGGGGGCCGTGGTCCCCCGTGGGCTAGTCCTGTTATCTGGCTCCTGCCGGCCGCTGTCCCACAGCTGAAGCAGCAACAGCACCACACTCAGCAGGTGGCTGAGGGTGCCACGCTGGACAGCCAGCTCCACCAGCAAGGCCAAGGCGCTGTGCTGATCAGGGATGGGGATGGTGTCGTTGTTGCCCTTGGCACTGGCACAAGCATTCAAGTCGCTGTTGATTTGATTTGACAGTGACAAAACATTTCCATCATAAACTAGAGCTACGTTTACCACTAAATATCAGGACTTTACGATGAACCAAATGTGACTAACAATAACACAAATTGTCTTACAACAATGACAGTTAAATATTTCTATTGGCCAGCTTAAGCAAGGATGAAGCACATCAGATCATATTTTTAACCTGTTGTTTGATTCAAGCAGGCTCCCTACTATAACAGCTCTGGGTGGATAAAAGTTCAAATTTAAATGTACACAGAACTGCAAAGAAGTACGAAGTGCTTCATGTATCACTTGTAAATGCGAGTAAAGCAAACATCACAATTATTCAGCATATCTTATCTACTACCAATTCTACTCACCCAACAACAACAGATGTGAGGAAGTCGGTAGCTTTCTGCACCACCTCAGCCCACACATTGGAGATGGATGCCTCGTCGAAGAGAGTTGCCTCGGGCAGAGAGCGTAGGGCCTCCAGAGCATCGTGGAGGAGCTCCGAGCACAGGTCTGAGTCCTCCCCTGATCGCCAAGCTCTCCTAAGGAAGGCGAAGGCAAAAGACAAGGCGGTGCGGGCCCCAACACGAGCCAGAGAAGTGGTAGCCTTCTCAGCTGCTTTGGGAAGGCTGTATATGATCAAGAATACAACATGCAAATAATTTCCAGGCAACTGCCAAAACAAAGTGACTGTCTTGATTTCCAGAGAACCAAAACTTGACTCTTCAAAAGGCATTCTGGCCACATTATCAGGCGCGTTAGTACTTCCTAACAACTGTTCCTCAACATTTAAGCAGTTCAGTAATGGTGCCACACTTGCAAGGTTAAATAGAAGTGGTTTCCACTTTCAATCATCAATGTCATTTACACAGTTAACATGAATCTATACAGTTGTGTCCAAATCACTTTGCTTGAAAATATGCAGGAATCTATGGTAGCCATTTCTCATTGTGTCGTGTGTAATTTCAAGCTGCAGCCAAGTAACGTGGACATGTCTTAACATGCAAGGAAGTTAAACACCAACAAAATGGCCCATGTTACATGTATTTGTCCTCTTTTTCACCTTCTACTTTTCACCGGAGACGATTCTCCTTCTTTCTGCTTTCTGGTGACCACTTGTTGCTCAGGGCAGTGGCGGGAGAGGGCAATGAAGTAGCGTTCTAGTACCACTAGGCGCTGTCGCAGACGGACTGAGGAGAGGGTGGACAGAGCAGCCTCCTGGAGGAGGTGATTCTGCTCTCTCAGTAGCAGGTGTAGGCATTCCTTCAGCTGCGATGCATCTGGGTCAGCAGATTTGGTGGTTGAGAAAAAAATATGGCTTTGAAGCAATACAGACCCAAATTTCTCAGTGGTCGAAAGACTTGGGACAATTTAGTGTTCCTTTAATTTTAATTTTTGTCAGAGGCATGCACAGTAGCTCTGTAGGAATTCTAACAAGGTATTTTATGCACAAAAATAATTAACCAAGCCAAAGATTGAAACACATGAAGTGGTCCCAGGTGATTCAAACCCCACTGCAAGCTTGCAACCTACCAGGCTGTTTACCCCAGGTCCAGGACTCAATGAGGCTTGATGATGTCCCTCGGTCTCCTGCTTCCTCTCGCCTCTCCTCCTCATCCAGCTTCTGACAAGAGGGGCAATTACAACCATTCCCTGGCCCACATCGGCCGTCACAGCAGCTACAGGACAAGACACTCATGCCGCAGTAGTACTTGCCCGTCTCCCCTGCATCAGTGATTCATAAATCAACTCCATTGCAGAAAGATGGGAAGTGGTCCCCTTTGCCAAGTCAAATGTTTTGCTATAGGCAGTGAATGCACAGCTTTATCTATAACGCTTAACGAAAGAAACTACATGTTTGCTCATGTGAACCATGACCTCCTGTTTGCTATTGCAAACATCTGTATGGCTCAGTAAAGACCTTGCAGTGTTAATTATTGTATATTTAATTCAAATCACACGATTCACAAGAAGCACTTGGACAACCAAAGAAAACCTCGAACAAAAGAGGCATGAAAGCTATAAAACAAGTCTTACAATTTAGACACAGAGAATTTAAATGAGTGAGTCATGAGGATCCTCCCAATCTCAGCTTTGTCTCGTCTTACCCTTACCTCTGACCCCATTATCACCATCTATTAAAATATTCCACACTTTGACACATATGAGAAAATTTGATGTTTCCATAACAGAAAATGGAACTATATTGGGCAACAGAGTCTGCACTCTGTGAACTAAATCCATCAAACGGATGCCATAGGCAGAAGACAAATACAAAGCCAAGATCTGGAAAACCCCTACATAACTGTACAATTGTCTACAGCTAGTCAGAGCCACAGCATTCCACTGGGTACCTTTGGCAGCCGCTGCCCCAGCTGAGTTGGTGATCTGCCGGGGTCGACCCACGACCACCTCCCCATCCTTGACTAGCTCATTCCACAAGCTGCTCAGACCATCCCTAGAGAAGGCAACCTGTCAACAAAAGATCAATGAACATTCCACGTACATGTACATTCCAAATTAAATGTATGTATGTTACAGGATAATAACAATCCATTTAACAAGCCACTCATGGCTACCTTTTGAAATATAGGTCTGAGATTTTGAGGTTTAAACCTCAGATAAGTGATATGTTTGAAATGGATTCATTTGTTCCTCCTTGAACTACCCACTCTCATGTTAAGCTAAAACTGAGTAAGTACTGCAACATTTTCTTGATGAAATTTATCCTAATCATCAAATCTTCACTTACTTGTGGATCTGACTTGAGCCACTTTGAGTCCAGCCGTGGCTGTGTCCTGATTGTCGTGCGATTCTGGGTCATAAGAGTGCCAGCCATGGTTCCATTATATGATCAAGCACTTGAGGTTACGGTTGCTCCAGAAATCTTCATGGCAAGGGTGCAGTAAATTACACGCATCTGATAAAGCACACAAGTCATAGAGCCATTTACATTAAGTTTCTGCAGCTGCAGATATGATTGGCTGGTTTTTAACATAGGTTTCCCTTCTTTGAAGGCTTGGCTGTATTCATTTTTTGGCACCAAACTGTACATGTGAATAATATCAGTTACACAGTCCCAAGCAGGCTGTGAAAGAATAGAGTAACGATCATATAACCATAAAAATGCTTCTTTTTGGGCAGGGATCATTCACACATAAGCCTCTGATGTCTTACTGTGCACATGAATGGCTGCTGAAGTAATTTTAGACTGATTTCTAGTCCTCCAAGTTTCTATTGCAAACTCCAGACAAAACTGATTCGTGAAATGAACTAGGCTTTTAGCTAAACCTTTTTCAGAGTGTGAATGGTTCTGAGAAGTTTTTTGTCAATCTCTTTGTTAAAATTGCATGTTTTTGTGTACCCCTAGGACAATGGGGTTCGGCATCACGACACATGACAACCCCGTAGTGTTGGGGTTATTTTTGTATGGGTTTTCCAGAATTACTGTCTAGAAGAGAGGTCTCGAAACTTTCGAATATAGCAAGAATAGAATGACGTCAACATTGCTCGATCAAGTGACGGTTCTACAATCTCGCGAAAATGCCAGATCTAGCTTTGGTCCTTGGATAGCGGGATGGATTGTGATGGGGAGAAAAAGGTCACTGATTTCCCTTTAAGAAATAATGTTACAGATTCACAGAATGCTGGTTTTAATCAGAACATTGCCAATGTCCGATCCAATCCGGTGTTTTTACCAACATTAACACAAGTGTTAACAAACCTTAACATGATGTAGGTGTACTCCCAATAACACCAAAACAGCGTACTCCCTAAAAGCATCAGTTTACAAAGTAATGTTGAAAAATTCATGTAAGCGTAAAGAATAAGTTTTGTTTGCCTTTATTGTTACAGAGTTGAGAGAATATCACACATTGCAATTCGTATGATACCGGTAGTAGAGCGCGAAATTAGACAAAAAAAATGCTCAGACAAAATGTCATAACACAATTTTTTTTCTGCCTTTACCAGCGTTTGATCTGCCATATTATATTAATTAAAGGTAGAGTTGCAATGTGCAGAATGCACTGTTAACGCTCAAAAACTGAATGCACACAACAACATTATGATCATTTAAGAATACTTACATATATGCAAGTTTGTACATGTACTTCGGCAAGTGTACAGGTCGAGCTACTCATGTTTGGCAGGGGCAAGACCCGCGGGTCAACGAGGGTATACTCCCATCACACATACTGAAATATAATGAGCCCGCACCACACTCGGGTCGGACTGGAAGAACTGTGCGAATGCAGCCAACCATTACTGGTCCATATTGCCTAGTACCCAGGTTATGTGTCAATCATGCATGGGTTACCACAGAAAATTGAACATTGGTTGACAGCATGACCTATGTTTTATGATGCACAAAGAACCATGGGGTGATTTCATGACTGTGCAAGTAAAGTATACACGTATGCTCATACACAAGTGGCGCTGGGTGACATGGGCTGGTGATGAGCGATCAGCCATGATGAATGCCTTGGGCGTAATTAACGTAATTCTAACACAAAATTAACAATATATCGGATGCCATAATCCCATATATTGTGTTGACACCAGTATTTTTAGAGTTGTTATTGATATGTTGGTCGGACAATTTGTCCAAGCATCTTTGATTTTGTTTAGACAAACACAAAAAGTGCTCGGAAACTGTCCGATGTCCAACCGTAATCTCATGCTCTGTGGTAGTGCTCTGTTGTATTCACACCAATGCATGCAGTGCACAAATAGCCTGCTCATGTACAGTATGCAGAGCATCTGCAGTGCCTGGTGGTACCACACCTGTTGTAGTCCCCTAGCTCTGTTCATTACGTTTAAAAGACACATGTACACTGGCTGCTATGTTGTGGGGCCGCGGTCTGTGCAATGTGTGTTGCAGTGTGGATCACATGCAGATGTAATTTTCGGGGATAGTTTTCGTGGGTACAACGGTTCATTTATCACACCAAATGAGTAATCCACAGTTTGCCAAAACGGAGTACAGAGTTCTTTCTTCTCTTCAAGCTAACATCGGTACTAATATCAGTAAGGACAGTCAGATTTTGCTGATACAAAGTTTTACCAATGTTGTCAAACATTAGCCTGATCCGATGTCATCATCAGTTGATCCCTAAAAAAATTTTCCAAAGGGGAAGAATCTGTTCAGTTTTACATGCAATGTAAATTAAATGGGGATTGAAAACAAGTCTAAATCACAAGTAGTTCCACCACATACACACGGTGGATACGGCTACAGACACAGCACTAGTTTGAGCATTCAAAGCGGGACTCCATTTCCATATAGCCAGCTACATGTAGAATGGATCATTGTATAATTGCATCAGTTATCTGATTTCTCAACTGGAATGGAGACTGTTCACTGCCCTTCCTGAATTATCCTCTCTTTGGTGTTGTCTAAGGGTAATTCCAGAAAT